CCCTCCGGCGCCCGCTACCACTCCGGGCTCGGGTCCGCGTGCGCGCTCGCTCCCGCCGTTACCGGCCGGACTGCGCGCTCGCGGGGCTCCGGCGTTTCCCGGGTGAGCGGCCGGACGGCAGCGCGCGAGCCCTGCGACTTCCAGCCCGGGTCCCCCACCCCGTGGCGCTCACCTCCGCGCAGGGGGCCTCCCGCGCACAGGGCTCTCCGGACCCCTGACCGGGGGCCGCCTGAGGGTCCATGCCCCGCCGCCCACAGCCAGGCTCCCGGGACGCTACTGCACGTGACGGCCGACAGCTGCCGAGCGGCGAATCGGCGCGCGGCGCTGCCACCGAGGGGCGGGGCGGCGCAGGAGCAGCGGCGCCGGACGACACGCCCACCTGCGTCGTGTGGGGACCACAGGCTCCCAAGCTCGTCCTGGGATCCCTGGTTTACAGCCTTAGGCCTGACAGGGCACTGGGCCTTCCCCGTGGCAGGTTTAAATGACCAGAGTCAACCCCGATAGCTAAGAAAGCCCAGCCTTCGTCACAGTTAAAGTCACCGCTGCTCCATCTCTTTTCCCTTCACTCCATCACAGGGTTTTCCAGATAACTCAGCAGCCTGGAGACTTGCCACCTTGGCTTAAGGATCATTTTTGAAGTCAGTCCATCGGGAATCAAGATAAACTCCCAAACAATGCGCCACCCGGAAATACTCTGTGGCTGTGTTATCGAACTTGGAAGTCACAACCTGTTCTGTGACTCCATTGCATAAGTCCCCGTTTTCTTCTTCCCACCGGTAGTTTGGTATTTTTACTGGCTTATTGAATATGGTTGGTCGGACCTGATTCGGGTCACAAGTTGTGACCCCGGAGTTCAATAACAGTTGGGGCAGTAGAAGTTGAACAAACCTCTATCTTTCAATGCACAAAGTCTCCAATCTGGTTATTTCTCTGTTTCTTCAAAGACACAAGTCAGCAGCAAGCTGCAGACAGAGTGCATGTGTGTGGATGTGTGTGTGTGTGTGTGTGTATCAATATTCTTTGTGGTCTAGAAATTCTGTGAAATATGAGTTTTCTAAGAAAACTTGAACCCAGGTCTTCTGGAAGAGCAGCCAGTGCTCTTAGCTGCTCAGTCATCTCCTCACCCCAGCATTTACTGTTTGTAATATGTGTGTGCATGTGCATATGCACATGTGTGCATGTATGAAGAGGCTGGAGGTCACAATAGGTGTCTGTCTTAGTCACTGTTCTGTTGCTGTGAAGAGACACCATAACCAAGGCAGCTCTTAGAAAAACATTCAACTGGGGGCTTGCTTTCAGTTACAGAGGTTCAGTCCATTACCATCATGGCCGGAAGCATAGCAGCAGACATGGTCAGCAAGGTGCTGAGGAGGGCTGCATCCGGATCTGCAAGTGGAAAGAGAGAGACATTGGGCCCTGCATGGGCTTTTGAAACCTCAGAGTCGACCCCCAGTGACACACTTCCTTCAACAGGGTGAAAGACCGGGATAAATCCAGACCTCCCCAGCAGGAAGAAGATAGCCAAAAATCCAAGCAGGAAGAGAAGAACCAAAAATCGAGGATTAGCCGATTAGTGACTGTGTTTCAGGAACTAGCTGAAGATAAAGTTAGGTTGTAATCTTGAGAATAATCTTGAGAAACAGGGAGTTTCCCCCTTGTGTTTGTCCTTGTTTTAAGAACTAGCTGATTATGACCTTGGGAGTGGTCCTGAGAGGCAGGGGGTTTGCCCCTTGTGATCTTCACTGGTATTTTTGGAATTTTCTGTGACACACTCCCTGCCAATTCCGGATCACTGGGCTGTGGTTTCTTCTCTTAAAAATCGCTTCTCCCGGTCACTCGGGGTTGAACTTTCCCCCTGCGTGGGTTATGAGTCTCGGCCCCAGTGCACTGGTTCCCGTCTCATCTCATCAATTAAAGCCTTGTGTGATTGCAGCAAGGACGGTCTCTTGTGAGTTACTGGGGGGTCGTGTTATCCTGAAACTTGAGTGAGAGTCTCCCTAGCACCAGGAGTCTTTCAAGAGCAGATCTCCTGATCTTTCTAATCCTATCAAATAGTTCCACTTGCCGGGCAGTGGTGGCGCACGCCTTTAATCCCAGTACTCGGGAGGCAGAGGCAGGCTGATCTCTGTGAGTTCAAGGCCAGCCTGGTCTACAAGAGCTAGTTCCAGGACAGGCTCCAAAACCACAAAAAAACCCTGTCTCGGAAAACCAAATAAATAAATAAACAAACAAACAAACAAATAGTTCCACTCCTTAGTCCAAATGCGTGATCCTATGGGGACCATCTTATTCAAACCACCTGTTGCTCTCCGCCTTAAATGAATGACAGCATCTCCCACAGAATCTGGAGTTCGTTGATTAGGCAAGACTAGCTGTCTAGCAAGCCTCAGGGACTCTCCTGTCTCTGTCTCTCCAATGCTCTGTTACAGGTTTGCCCCATGTTTCCCTGGTGATCCAAGCTCAGTTTTCATTCTGGTATGGTAAACATCTGCTGAGCCATCTCCCTAGCCCCTAAGATTCTTCAGTGATACAGAGAAACCACATATTGTTAAGTGAAACCTTTCTTTTAAAGACTTATTATGTATACTGTGTTCTGCCTCTGTGTCCGCATGCAGGCCAGAAGAGGGCACCAGATCTCATAGATGGTTGTGAGCCACCATGTGGTTGCTGGGAATTGAACTCAGGCCCTCTGGAAAAGCAGCCAGTGCTCATAACCCCTGAGTCATCTCTCCAGCCCTGCTAAGTGAAACATTACTAAGTAAAACTGTATCGAATGTTTCCTCAGTGACAGTACGTTAAGTTAAAGGATGTAATTCCCACTGATGAATGTCTCCTCCTTGCCACAGAATGTCCTTCTCTGCTCCCACTTTTGTTTCTGAGGTTCCCCGCTGAGCCCCTTCTCTACTGCCCCCATCTACTCCTCTCACGGTGCTCCTCTTTTACTGCCGAGCCTTTAAATGTAAAAAGCCCTTTGCTTATCAGTCCTTGGGTAAATAAAACACATCTCCAAGGATGCTCCCCCCCCCCAACCTCCACTTCTACTGCTCTCTCGGAATATTTAGCGGTCTTACCAATTCCCAACTCCCACCCCTTGAAGTTCCCTACTTTTCTGTACATGATGAAAACTCAGCTATTTCTTGAATGATTGAATGATCTAAAAGTACCTCTCCAATTCTGAATAAGAAAATCAAACAGCTGAGTTCACCTCTAGGTAGAAAACAGTAGGCTTTTATTTCTCTTCTCTACACTGTCTTGTTCCTCTGTATTTGAACGTATGTCATATGTTTTAATAGGGAGAGATCAGAGACAAGCACACTGTCTCATCTGTTTTTTTTTTAAATTATAACAACTTCCTTTAATAGAGGCTTGTAACATGGAAGAGATTTGTCAGATAAAATGTAGAGTTTCCAAGACACTGAAATATAAGCCGATAAGTCACCATAAATACAGCACCCAATAATAAAAACCACAACAGCAAATTCACATGGTCCCTGTAATAGCCATGATCTGATTTCACACGCTTTCAAGAGACGGCAAATATGGCCCGCTGGATAGAGCGCTCTAGGGCTTTGGAGTCACTCATCTGACAGGGCTGTGGCACTGGTGGCTCAACTCAAGAAGCAGAGCAGGTCCCAGCACTTCAGTGTATTGAACATCCTTTAAATATCAAAGTGAGAAATAAGAAAATGAGATAATCACGCCATCAGAGAGACGGTAGGAAGCAAGGACAGCTGTGTAAAGCTCGCGGCTGAAAGGTGTCTCGCCAGCTTCATTTCTTTGGCTTCTTGGGTAGTGGCCGCCGGAACAGTAAGATGTGAGGTTCTGGTTCCTGGATCATATAATGGACCCATCCCTGACTCTGCTGAACACCAAGATTTCTCCATTCAGATTCAGACATCAAATGGGTTTTAGGGACCAGCTTGGCTATGTCCTTGGGCAACATGACATTGTCGGTACTCAACTCCTCGTCGTCGTATTTGTCCGAATAGTAAATCTGTTTGTGCGACGTGCCTGCTCTGCCCGAGGGCGCCCAGCCCCGCGCTGCTGGCCTGCAGACAACTCTCATCTGTTTTAACTGATTCACCATACCATGTTTATATTAGAGATTTATGATATGTATATGTATACACACATAGGCACAATGTAGGTCAAAAAATGAAAACCAGTTGTATGACTTCCGTGTGTTCTGAGAAACATTTAGGAACTATGATATGATTAGGTATGGTGGTACCAGAAGAGGGCACCAGATCTCATGGATGGTTGTGAGCCACCATGTGGTTGCCCAAAATATCAACACTTGGAAGGCTGAAGCAGGAGGATTGGGATCCGGAATTCAAGACTAGCCTGGGCTTCTTGAGACTTTACCTCAAAAACCAAACCAAACCAGCAGCAAGAGAAGCCCAGAGCTAAAAGCTGCAGGTCTGGTTTGACAGGCACACACTCAGTGAGCATTTCTCCTTTCTGGAACTACCGGTGAACACATTAGCATAGAGTTAAAAGTGTCTTTCAAAATCCATCGGCTTTCCTGCCTGCCGTGTTTGAACAACTCACACAGAGGGCCTGCTAAGCAACTGTGCACAAAGTTGCTTATACTCCTGATGCGCGTAGCTTGTTTAACCACCAATTGTTTGGCTCTCGTTGCTCTGACACATTGTCGTGGCTCATTGGTAGATTAGCGGTTCTGTGGGTGCCAGGGAAAGAGTTCTACTCCTTTGTGTAATCCATGCAAAGCTCTTTAAGAGCAACCAAAGTTTACTATAAACAAAATTAGATCTGACACAGACTTATTTTTTAATTTCAGATAAACAAGTATATTTTAGTTTAAGCAGGTCCTAAATATTTCATGAAACATACAATAACTTACCAGTTACTTCTTTTTTCTTTTCTATTTTATTGATGTTTATTGAGCTCTATATTTTTCTCTGCTCCCCTCCTTGCCTCTCCCCTCCCCTTCAACCCTCTCCCAAGGTCCCCATGCTCCCAATTTACTCAGGAGATCTTGTCTTTTTCTACTTCCTGCTGGGGTTGCAGGTGCACACCACCGTTCTGATTTTATTCAGTCTTTGAAATCAAGGCCACCGTCCTGTGTGTCCGTCAATCAGTCTGCCCTGAAGCTGCGACCCCAAGCCCCGCTGCGTTTGAATTTCTGTGCACTAGTTTCTATCTGAGTCCTCCCAATCCACCTTCCCCAGATTTCAGATTCTGAGGATAAAAACAGAAATGGGCTGGAGAGAGGACTCAGTCGCTGAGAGCACTGGCTGCTCTTCCAGAGGATGACAGCTCGATCCCCAGCACCCACAAGGTGGCTCACAACTGTCTGTAACTCCAGTTCCTGGGGATTCTGGCTTCTGAAGACACCATATATGTGTGGTAGCCAGACCATAAATAAATCTTAAAACAAAGACAAAAACCAAACAGAAACAGTAACCGAGGGCCCGTTTGCCTCCTTCAGCAGAGACCAGACAAAACAGGCCCCGTGAAGGTGCCGGGACCACAGCACTTTACCCAGCCTGGCAAGGATGGTCCTGGGACAGGAGACGTTGAGCCACCGGTCCCCCAGGAGATCCTTGCTCCCCCTCTGCAAGGTCACCATTCCTAAAGCAGCTCTAAGGGATCAGAGGTAGCCACTTGTTTTATTTGACTTTAAGAGCAGAGTCTGGCTGCATAGCCCATGTTCACTTAGAAATCTGGACCTTCCTGTCTGTCTCTTTTCCAAGTGCAGGGATTCCAAGTGTGAGCCACCACACTCTGCTGAAGCAGACATCCACACTGAATTACAATGAGGTTTAAAAATAAACGCTGCCGTACTGTAGAAACTCCGGGTCCATCTGCCTGGCAAGCAAGGCCTAGGTCGCTTACTTGCTCCTTTCTGAACAATGTAATTTTCCTGAAAAAGACAAAAAGACGAAAGACGGGCAGTTTTCCTGAAAACTAGAAAGGATGAAATGTTTTCTTCTATGAGGCCAGAAAGCCTTTCGCATCTCATGTATAAACAAACACCCAGACCTCGGCCTCTGTAGCAGACAGTTTAATAAGGACCCCGCTGCAAACTAGTGTAAGGAGTGGGTCCCCTGCCTCACCCAATGTTTAGTGACCTTAGCCACCCCTGAAGTCTGCTCTTCACTTCTCTTCCTCTTTTCTTCTTGGTCATATTTAGAATCTTTTTCCTCCTTTGGTTTGGTTTTTGGACACAGGGTTTCTCTGTGTAGCCCTGGCTGTCCTCACACTCAGAGATCCTCTTGCCTCCCAAACTGGGATTAAAAGCATGCACCACCATTTCCGGGCTTGTGTTTAGAATCTTTGTTTTTTCTACAAAGCTTTATTTATTATGTATACAATATTCTGCCTGCGTGTATGCCTGATAGTTGTGAGCCACTATGTGATTGCTGGGAATTGAACTCAGGACCTCTGGAAGAGCAGCCAGTGCTCTTAAACTCAGAGACATCCCTCTAGCTCATGTTTAGAATCTTAATCCAATTATATTTCAGGGTATTTTGGAGACCAATAATTCCATTTCTAAGAATATATTGTTTTTGCTTTTTTGAGACATGGTTTCTCAGTAGCTTTGGAGTCTTTCTTGGAAGTAGCTCTTGTAGACCAGGCTGACCTCCAACTCAGAGATCAGCCTGCCTCTGCCTTAGAGTGCCGGGATCTGAGATTATATTCTAAGGGGCCAATTTCCAACATGAACAAATAGTATTCCACTTAGTGTGCACAAAGAAGTCATGACACATTCTCAGCATGGTATAGCACACGGCTGCGGTTGTTTGAGACAGTGTCTCACAGTATCAGCCAAGCTTTCGCAAACTCCCGGATTCCAACGATCCTTCTGCTGTCTGCCAAGCAGCGGCACCTGGGACTGGAGGTGTGTGTCACTATGTGACACCTTGTGACTATGTTCAATGAGTGATTGTTGGTTTATTTTTGTTATAGCAGCCCACTCTGTAGCTCAGGCTGGCTCGAAACCCACTATCTTGCTCAGGCTGGCCTTGAACTCAGAAAAAAATCCTTCTGCCTAAACCTCCCTAATGCTGGAGTCACAAGTGCGAGCCAACATGGCAACTGTAAGCACTCATCAGAATTGTTCCTGAATGGGGAGAAGGACGTCCACACGCTCATTCTCAAATGCAGTGTTCACAGTTGTGATTATGGTGTGATCTCAACCATGTAAGACACATCTCAAGATGGCTAAACTGCTCTTTTCTCCTCGATGGGATTAAAGTGATGGCCAACAATGAATTCTTAGTTACCCCCTCTGACAACAATGAAAATGAATGGCTGCCACTGTTTATTAAAAGAAAAATCAAGCCAGGAAGTGGTGGCGGCTCACACCTTTAATCCCAGCACTTGAGAGGCAGAGGCAGGTGGATCTCAATGAGTTTGAGGTCAGCCTGGTCTACAGAGTAAGTTCCAGGACAGCCAGGAGTGTTTCGAAGAGAAACCCTGTCTCAAAAAAAAAAAAAAAGAAAGAAAAGAAAAATCAAGGAAACACATTATAAAAAAAGTCTGAGGGCACTTCCTTAGATACTATTTGTGATACATATAGTCTGGTCTTAAAGGGCTGAGTGCTGGCAGAAAAACTAAAAATGACTTCAAACGTGAGTACCTCTCCAACCCACTTCTGGCCTTGATCACAAGTGTTCATCCACCAGAGTTACCGCTAATGTAGCCTTCTATATCTTAAAAAAAGAGGCAAAATTTATTAAGAAACTCACAAATACCAAAACCCTCTCCTCCACTTGGTAGGGCCTTGGGGATGCCTGCTGATGATATACTCAGCTCCTGTCCTACGAGGCGCTGAACCTGGAGCCGATATTTTACACATTGCTTTCACATCTTCTTGGGCCTTTTGCACCTTTACTCCACTCTGCCTAAGAAATCTCGAGGGCAGACAAACCTGCTCAAAATATAAAATGTCGGAAAATAACCACCCAGCATCATGCTCTGAAGATGTGTTGCTATAAAGGCAACTTCCTTCTGAGATAATCAGTATATGAATAGGGCTTCACTTCTAGTCTGTGCTAATGAGGAGAGAATTCTTATTGCCCTGCAGGAACGGCACGTCAGATACTATTCTTAGATCCATTCTGGTTACAGTTCTCCTTTTTTGTTTGTTTGGTTTTGGTTTTTGTTTGTTTTATGAGACAGAGTTTCTCTGTGTAGTTCTGGTTATCTGGGAGCTCACTATGTAAACCAGGCTGGCCTTGAGCTCAGAGGTTCACTTGCCTCTGCTGGGGTTAAAGGTGAGCGCCACCACTGCCCAGCTAGTTCCAGCTCTTTTTAGAAAGCCCTGGGATCACTCAGACTCACAGTCACCCATGTGTCTCTGCTGTCTGGAACCCACAACACGAGTAACACGAATAGCCGAGGCTAAGCATCACGTGTGTGTCAGAGGCGGTCATAGATGAGCAGTAAATGTTTCCCCACCTTACCTCTGGAATACTTCCCTCCCTCCAGTACAAAGCCCTGTAATAACCCCCTGTTTAGAACAGTGGTTCTCAACCTGTGGGTCATAGCCCCTAGGAAACTTCTATCTCCAAAAAATATTTATATTAAGATTCATAACAGTAGGAAGTTACAGTTATGAAGTAGCATCGAAAAATACTTTTATGGTTGGGGGTCATCACAACATGAGGAACTGCATGAAAGGGTCGCAGAGTTAGAAGGTTGAGAATCAGTGGTTTAGAAGTGTTCTTCAAGTTAAAGTTTGGTTTGTTTGTTTGTTTGTTTGCTTGTTTGTTTTTGTTTTTTCAAGACAGGGTTTCCCTGTAGCTTTGGAGCCTGTCCTGGAACTCATTCTTGTAGACCAGGCTGGCCTTGAACTCACAGAGATCCACTGGCCTCTGCCTCCCAAGTGGGGGATTAAAGGCATGCACCACCACTGCCTGGCAATGTTTGGGTTTATGATCATTTATGGCCACACGACTATGAGAGGTAGGCACCTTAGATGAAAAGCCACGGGAAAGTGGTAATGTTTCATTCCTTAAACTTCCCAGCCAGGAATAAGTCAACAGGAGGAAGCAAACCCATACCCAGGAACTCAGCAGGTCAGGCTTTGTCCACATACGGGCACTCCCGGGTCCATTTCCTCATCACACCTGATGTGCTCTCTCCGGTCCTGAACTTTGGCATTTCCATTAAGTTCCTTCCCAGTAAAGGAGGCGTAGGGCTGCTCCCAGCGCTCAGGTGGAACTGGGGCATTCAGATGCCAGTCCTGATACCAAGGAGTTCTCATCTGGAGTCCCGCTGGAGAAAATTCAACTCTCTTTCTCCTCACGTGTGTCTTTTAATATCGTGGTGATACTTCGAGAAAATCCTCACATCTGTGTGGAGCCGTCATAGCGTACGTCTGCCCACTTCAAGGTGGCCATTAGCAGAGCCTAAGATGTCCTCGCTGCTGTGCAATGGTCAGGGAACAGAGTTTATGGTGACATCAGTGCCCTGCTCAGACCCAGTCATTACATTTTCTCTCCTTAAACATGAGTAAGTATGGCTTAACTTCTCAAAATCATGCGGGAATAAAACCCAAGAAACTGAAAAGATCTTGTAGCTAAATCTTGGCACATGTTTCTTCTTCCTCTTGGCTAGAGGGAACTGCCACCCCAGTCAGAAGCTAATCAGATATGCAAATGTCTTTAGGTGCATTAAACACAAAATTAGGCAGTCACCAACAGCAGCTGTTACTTCATGCTCCTGCTGTGAGTGTGCCGTGTCAGAAACATAGACAAGCATCCCGTCTTTCAACAAGGTTAGAATTCATTGGGGAACAAGACATTCACAAGGTGCCGCAGTTTCAGTGGCGTCAGTTTGCTACTTCAGCCTGCTTTCCTTAGTAATCTGACTAAGCACTATCGCATGTTCCACTCTTAATGTTAACTCTCATATCGCATATCACACAGCAAATGCATCTGTACATATGTGTGCGGTGGGGTGGGGGTGGCTTATACAATGTATGCCATAGGTTAAGAAGGTTCCTGTAAAGTTTCAACTGGTCTCAGGAGTGGACTGAACAGCCTGTCTGGATAATAAAATAAAACACGCCGGCAGCGGCGAAGCTGCTGCTGTGGAGTCTCCAGGATACTCCGGAAGCAGAGCCGTAAAGTTTAATTTAGCTGCTGGATCAAAGGGAAGGACCCGGACCAAATGAATGTACAGACAGAAGGATGGATGGGTGCATGGAGGGATGGATGGATGATGAACAGATAGATGGATGGGTGGATGGGTGGACAGACGATGAATAAACTGATGGACAAATCAACAGATCAGTGATTGAACAGAAGGATGGATGGATGGACAGACAATGAGCAGACAGATAGATCAATGGATCAGTGGGTAGATGGATGGATGGATGGATAGATGGATGGAGGTTCTGATAGGAAAATAGAAACACAGACAGATAGTGGTTGAATAGGCCACATCAGTAGCATAGTCCAAGAACAGCTGACTGAGTGAAAAAAATTCCAGAATGTTCTAACAGGGAAGTCACAAAGCCACCACTTCGTATTTGTCCTTCTCTAGCCTGACACACTGGACCCTCAGTAGTGATGTCTTCAGTGCTGGACTGTATTGCCTATATGCACTGGATTTTACACTTGGGGCAAAAATAAAAAGACAAAATTGTTGACTTCTGGCTTTTTTTTTAAATTTCCCTTGTGCACAAGAGGTGGATCAAAGTACTTAGACAGTGGACTGTGAACGAGAGGTGGAGGGTTGGTTACCAGGCTAGAAACGCCTTCCTCCAGGCTGTTCGCTATGCACACTGAACTTGGGTCCTATATGCACTAAAGGAAGTTCTGGCCTCATTTAAAAAAAAAAAAACAGCAATAGCTTTAGCCACAAAGCCCAACCAGGGTGCTAAGACATTCCATGTGACAGGAGCAGGCTCCAGCACTCTGGGATGGGTGGACACAGGGAAGAGCCCGGCTGGCGTATGCAGGGAAGTCCGGACTCCAGCCCTTAGCAGGCAGCTGTCCCTGTACTATGTACCCACTAACGCCAGGAGCTTTTCTGCTACAGGCTTGCGCTCGGTGTCAGCGGTCCCTTTCAGTCCAAAGGATCATCTGCTCCTTATTTTATTGCTTGTCACTCAAGGTAACACAGGAACAGGGTAAGTACATCACCATGGGAACAATCATAAATGCAAGGGAACGCTGATACCATATTTGATGTGACCTTGAAATCCAGACTTGCTTCTGTTGTTCCTGGCATTTCAGGAACAGGTGTGTTGTTTAGATGGGGTTTCAAGTTGGCATCATTAGCTAGACATCTCCCAAGAATCCCAGCATGAGGCAGGTAGAATGTGACACCCCCTCCCGTCCCTTGGTAAGGTGTCATGGTCACATTGGTGGTTTATTTCTTGCCACAGCATTAATGCAATGTGGCAAGATGTAACCTTTGCATGCTGAGTAAAGACTCCATTAAATACGCTATGCTCTGAGTCCCAGAGAGGAAACAAAACAAAGCTAATCTGAGTCCAGATGGTACAACCCCCAAGGGCAAGGATGTGCACCAGCCTGTGTGCCAGAAAAAGGCCAAGAAAGGTCGATTCAGTCACCCTCAGGGTATTGACCTTAGCTTACCACCACACCACATCCTGGAGGCATGAACACCAAGACAGCTGAACCCAGCAACAGCCACCCACTCTGTCAGTCACCACCCTGAACCATTATTGTGGGGAGGGATAGCAACCATCAGATTAAGTTTGCCCAGCTTCTTGACAACTGTCATATTGGGATTTCTTTGGAGAAAATAAAGACACATGGTATCCCCCCCCCCCAATCTCTGTTGAGTACGTATCTTCCTGCTGCTCCCTCTCACCTCATGCCTTCAGCCTGGCAACTTCCTATTTTCCTATCTCTATAAGCGGTTTCCCTTCTTTCACAGGTTGAACTGCAGAGGCACCAAACCTGCTCATCTCCCCAAAGACAGCCAAGTGTAGATAGAGACTGTAGCAACACTTACCCAGTGTGTGGTGATTTCCCAGAACTGCCTCTAGCTTCTGCCCTCACTCTTGGCTTCTGAGGCTATCACTGTTGCTCTAGTTCTTCCTCTGTGGACTCCTGCTGTGACCTCATGGATTCCGTGTCCTGCTGCAGGATCCTGCTACTTTGTGGTGCTCTGATGTTACTCTTTTCTACTGCTGTATAATACTGAAGTATATGACTGTGTGCTATTCACTATGAAAGGCCATGTGCTATTGATTGAAAGCTGAGTCTGGGACCCATGTCTCAGACCCAAGCATGTCTATGTCAAGTGGTCTCCAAAACCCTAAACTGGTTCAGGTGCCTAAATTAGGCGTTGCGGATGGAATAACGCCGACTTCCACCTGTAACTGGTCTATTATATTTAAATGTGTAATGAAAAACCACTACTAGAATAAACACATTAGAAATGATTTACATAAGTATTTCCCCAATATGAGTACCCACATCATTCAAAAGACTAAAACTGAACGTGATGTTTGCTTACTACACACCAGGCACTTGTACATACTTTGCGCTTATTTAGTCGGGTAAGAACCATTCCTAGTTCTCTTTGCGCTCAAGGGTGCACACAGGTGGCTGAGACCTTTCCCAGCAACCCTCCTGGGCAGCAGTCCTGGTTTAGAAGCTCTAGCTTCCCGCCCCTCTAATCCTCCGTGGTCCACTTGCCCTCTTCTTCCTACAGACCCCACAGCACCTGTTTGGAAAACATTGTGCCCGTTGGCACTGTTTTTCTAGGGCATTTCAGCTTTCTAGGAATTGAAAGCTATTCTAGGTGGTAGGTCAGCCAGACCTTCTTTGAGCCCCAGGGCTACATGCAAGAAGACACTGGCATGTAGGCAATGGAGGGGAGCCCAAGCTAGGCCTCCGCTAGGCAGGCTGGAAAATGAAGTAGAGAGGTGAGGGGTCTGAGTGTATATAGGGCGGTGTCCCTGCTAGCATCAGGCCGGCGGTCTGCGGATCCGGAGCGGGCGTCCACAGACCGTGACTAACCAACCGGTTTCCGCCAGACGACTCGGGCTACGCCAGCAGGGCGAGTCAAAAAGTCCCACCACGGGCCCACACGCGACAAGGATAGGTGGGTGGGGCTTGCGTCCACTGCGCACGCGCACAGGAGGTCTCCGAGCTCGGGTAGCAACACGATCACGTGGCTCGACCCCGGCCAATCAACGGCACCTCGAGGCGGGGCGTCCAGCGGTGTACCTCGGCGGGAGGCGGACGGACGACTTCCGGCAATAATTGGACGCTGCAGCTTGGTAAGGTTGGTGGCTGCCTCGTCGGAAAGGGACCAGCAGGTGAGAAGGGACTCGGGATGGGCTGGGGAGGGGCTGTCAGGCGGGGCGCTCCCGGCCCGCGCGTCGCTGGCCGCTGTGCAGCCCGCTGGCCTGTGCAGGCTGTGCGCTCGCCCACCTCCCGGGGTCCAGGCGCCCGCCCCCCACCCCCGCCGGCCTGTCATCTGCCGGTCCGTGCCTCCTCCCGAGCACACCTGGCCGGGCAGCATCCTTCAGGCCTGCGCGTGCTTTCGCTGCCAGACACAAGAGATTGGTGTCTTTATCCTCAGCTCATTTCTGCCTCTCTTCCAGTGGATTTCCATCTCCATCCTTGGGCCTGTTCAAACTCCCCTGACCGCACATCTGGAGAGCTGTCCCTGTGAAGGGTCCTTCTGCCCTGCATGCAGCGCCAAGGCTTAATTTCCCACCGTTCTCCTTCCATTTTCCTTTGCTCCGGGGCGTGCTGTCCCTACTGCATCTGTGATGATCTCCCCGGACTCCTTGGGGGGGTAAACCCGACTTCTGACATTCAGCCTGAAATATGCAGTGTGTTTGTTCACCATCTTTCACAATCAAATTTACCCACATTTACAAACTTCACATTTGATCCCAGCTCTTTTAATTTAAATTTCTTAAAAATTTTATAAGAAAACTTGACCAGCGGCAAAACTAAGTGCTTATTAGCTTGACGACTATTCATTCTATTTTTAAAAGGGTTTCAGTATTGTTAATTCCCCGTGTGGCATGTGCACCAATGCCCAAGAAGAACAGAGGCCTCGGACCTGTTGGACTGGAGTTACAAACAATTGTGAGCCGCCTGATTTGAGTGCTAGGAGCCAAACTTGGGGTCCTCTGTAAGAGCAGTTATCGGGTGCTCCTAGCTGCTGATCCATCTCTCCAGCCCCAGACCATCCATTCATTCTTGCTCAAGAACAAAGGAGATTATCTTTCTCAGATTCTGAAATGAAACTTTAAAGTGACGCTTTTCTCGCCTTTCTGTTTTTGTTATGACTTGTTTTGTTGTAGTGTCCTTGCCACGCACTCAACGCTCTTGTTGCTTTGAAAAAAAAACGTAACTGATGTATGGTCTAATTATTTTTTCTTGTAATTTGCAAATAGAGCATCACACATGTAAAGTAAAAAAAAAACAAAAAAGACAAACAACAACAAACACCCAAACCTATAATTTCCTGGAATCTGTCTTAATAGGCTGTTAGGATTCCTGTAAATATAGTGGCTAAGAGCATGGACTTTGGAATCAGAGTCCATAATTTTGAGTTCTGCCCTGCTGAATTCTTTGCTTCTGTACTCTCATGTATAAAATAGTTTTGTTTGTGATATGGTGGGTGAACACGGGGCCTCGGGTGTGCTAGGCAAGTCCTTGACCACTGAGCCTTGAAATGGAGAATTAAGTTTGTAAAATGAGGATATTCCCCTCTTTACAGGTTAGTGTGCGGACCAAACTGGGTGTCATTCGCGTGACTTGTTCAGTTAGTGCCGAGCCCATTCTGAGTTCTGGTTTTTGTCGTTGGTGTTTCGTTTATTAGGAACACCCGTACTTGTTGAAGAAGAAGAAGAAGAAGAAGAAGAAGGCATGTTTTTTGCTTAGTTGAGGCTCTTTGGTCTTAGGAGATTCTGCTAGGAGATGCATTTGAAGAATTCATCCTGTTCTCCTGCAGTACCCCACCTTCGTGTTTTGCCACGTGAAACAGAAACCCAGAAAAGACAAAGATGTGCAGCCCAAGTGCTTTCTGGCGTTAGTTAGCAATTACTGCGCTTAAAGTCTAGTGCACTTGGGGACTGGATGGTGGATGGCCCAGCGGTCAAGAGCTCTTGCTGCTCTAGCAGAGGACCCTGTTAGGTTCCTAGCACCCACAAGGCTGCTCCCAACTGTATGTACTGTATGTAACTCCAGTTACAAGAGAAAATGACACCTCTGTCTGACCTTTACTGGGGACTGCAGAACATGGTGCGCTTACTTCCGTGCGTACAGGGAAGACACACATATACACGTAAAATGAAAGTAAATATATCAAAAAATACATGCAGGTTATACAAGCTGTGTCACGGCTGAGTAGACTCTGAGACGTTACTCATACACATATGTTAATTTTTCAGAACTGACTTATGGTTTTTTCTTTATGTGCTGGCTAATCTTGGTGTTGGCTTGGCACACTTAAGAGGGAGCCTCGGCTGAGGATTAACGCCCTGAGGTTGGCTGTTTTCTCGGTTGCCTTGCTGTAGGATGGCCCAGTGTACTGTGGGGTTGTACAACCCTCTGCAGGCGGGACTAGGCTGTCTGAAAAACAGGTGGCCTAGCAAGGTACACGTTGCAAAGCCATAAGTAGGATTCTTCTGTGATTTCTGCTGAGTTCCTCCCCTGCCGCCCCTGGATGAAACAAACCCTTTCCTACCTACATGTTTTACCAGAAAACAGAAAAGAAACTAGACTTCCTTTAGCATTTGCAAAGTCTCAAAATAAAGGTAATTTTAATTTTAAATATATTAATGAAATTCTAGCAATTCATGTCTTTTAACCAAGTAGATAAATTCCTGTAAAAAGTGGGTTGTCACCTGATCTACAGAGTGAGTTTCAGGACAGCCAAGTCTACACAAAACAAAACAAAAATGGGTTGTCATTGTTTAAAATCTTCTAGTAACATTATTTTCTGGTACTCAAAACCAGATGCTTCACATTGAATTTAATGATATATGACCTTTTAAACTGCAGCTTGTCTTCTGTTTTATGCAAAGGGTTTTGCTTTGGAGCCCAGGTTGGTCTTGAATTCTTACCTCAGATACTCGAGTTCTAGGATTACAGGCTGACAGGTGGACAGGTATATGCTGCTATGCCTAGCCCCAGTGACTTTTGTTTTGAAGTGGTGCTTGGGACTGAACCCAGGGCCTCATGAGCGCTAGGCAGGTGCTGTACTACTGACCTAGTGGCCCATTGTTGCTTTTTATCGATAAATCGCTTCTAGAACCTGTGCCTTAGTTTATGAGCTATGTAGATTCTGGAACAGTGAACTAAGACAGAGAGATCCCAAGATCGCCCTGTCAAGTCTGAAATAAATCTTGAAACAAACATTTTCCTCTAGGTTGTAAAATCTGGGACGTAAGGGTTTTATTTTCGTATTTCTCTAGTTTACTTGCTACCGAGCCTCAGCTTGAAAGGGTTATTTATATTATACCAAACTATTTTCTCACCAAATAGTTCGGTCAGTGAGTCACAATACGCATAGGGTTGACAATAACCAAAACGTAATGAGAAATGCCACAATGGCTCTTCTTATAAACGCTATTAAATTTTTTTAAGCTAAAAGATAAATAAATATACCTAGCAGGGAGTGGCTTCCTAGGTTAGTGTAGGGTTTCCATCTTATGAAGACATTTGTTAGCTGAGGACACGGGTCTATGTAAGACATGGATGAGGAACTGTAAGCTCAGGAGTTACTTTTCTTTTTTGTTCTCCCTTTTAATTTTACGCTACAGACCCTAGAAAGTTATCTTTCTAGACTGGGCAATGGGACTATAACAGAATAAGACATTGTGATTATCTTGGAGGAAAATTAATGTTGAGTACTTAAGTAATTTCAGATACTGGATGGTGGCAGAGACTGGTTCATGGGGTGGAGAGGTCGGAAGGGAGCTGTTCTCATGGAGCCTTTGTAGGAGTTGGCAACTTGACTTTGTAAACACGAATATCTGTTCTTAGCATTCTCTGTGTGTGAGACTCACCTTTGGACCCAGCATCCCTTCCCTTGCCCCTCCCAACACTGCTGTGCTGCTGAATACCTCCTTAGCGCTTGCTCCCTGTTAAGAGTACTCGCTGCTCTTGCCAAAGACCCAGGTTTGGTTGCTGGCACCACCTGCATGGCAGCATTTTGCCTTCTGGCTTCTGTGCGGCTGAGGCTGCGCCTCCAGTCCTCTGAAAGTCCACTGCCTGTACACCCTGTGATGCCAAAGTCTGATCAAATCGTTTGCCTCCTGGTTTCTTGGCTCCTGGTTGTTCTTAGGATGAAGCCCAACCCTTTTCTTCATCCGGTCATCATCCTCCCCGCCTTTCCCAACCGTATTCCATTTTCATTTCCCATGCTCTCACCCACAGTGGTCTCTCTGGAGTCAGGTGGGCTGTGGCTCAGTTACATCGCCTCCTACTTCTGGAACAGGGGTGGGAGGTGGGAGAAAGCTGTTTGGAGGGGTATTCCTCAGCGTGCTTGCTTCTTCTGATTCAAACGCAGGTGTCGTCTGGGGTAAACCTTTCACCACACATTATCGTGCAGTAAGACCCACCTGTGCTTAACCTGGTTATCACTTTAGTACATCCAGAGCACAGTAAGACAGACCTATGCTTAACCTAGTTACTGCTTTATGTTTGTTTTCTTTTCTTTTTTTTTTTTTTGTGACAGGGTCTCTTTGTGTAGCCCTGGTGTTCCTGGAACTCACCTTGTAGACCAGGCTGGCCTCAAACTCAGAGATCTGCCTGCCTCTGGCTCCCGAGTGCATCACCACCATCCAGCCAGAAGAAATTTGTGTTCATTACGTATATATATACTTTTAATGTAATTTTAATGTAAACTTTTTTTTTTTAAACAGGAGAACTATGCCATTTCTGGGTCAGGACTGGAGATCCCCTGGATGGAGCTGGATTAAAACTGAGGATGGGTGGAAAAGATGTGATTCCTGTAGCCAAGAACTCCGAAACGAGAGTAACCAGTACACCCTCAACCACAGCATGTACGTCTCAGTGAGGTTGTCAGGGTCACTGCAGAGCTCTGTCGCTTGCAGTTGTGCTCACGATTTTGGCTAGGCCTGCTGTCCAGACTGCTCTTGTGATGTTTAACTGTGGCGAGCAGACTTCTGTCTCCATCAGCAGTCGTGATTACAGGGACAAGGGACATTCAGCCATACCGGGCTTTCACGTGGGTGCTGAGGCTTTGAACTCAGGCCTCCCTGCTTGCATAGCAAGTGCTCTTAGCCACTGAAGCATCTCTCTAGCACCAGGCTTGCATCTGAAACATACCTGCATGCCTTGTCCCCAGTAAATATTAACTCCATCGCTGTCCTTAAACTCTTAATACCACTCGTGATCTCTGTTTGCCCTTTTGTGACAAGATTTATCTCTTTTATAATAATGTCCTCAGATGTGTGTGCATTCAGCATGTACTGGTAAAACCCCTTAGTTTTTTTTTTTTTTTTTGGTTTTTCGAGACAGGGTTTCTCTGTGGCTTTGGAGCCTGTCCTGGAACTAGCTCTGTAGACCAGGCTGGTCTCAAACTCACAGAGATCCGCCTGCCTCTGCCTCCCGAGTGC